TATCATTGTGCTTTTGCTCGTCATATGTTTTTCGCTTTTTAGCTTCCGTCTCCCTTCCATCCCTGAGATTTTTAGTTACCTTCTCCGCTTCCTCCGCATCGACATACTTGTCTCCCTTCTTTAATAGGTCATGCATCGACTCCGGGGGGTTCTTGGACAGTGACATCTTAAAGGCCCGATTTCGCGTTCCATTCATCAAGGCTGTAACCACTGCGGACATTTGCAGGTCTCTAATGCCAAGAGTCGCCCGGCTGAACCTGGCTAAGTATTCCTGCAATGACTCGTCTTTGTCCTGTACGACCTGCATCAACCCAATGGCTGTCTTCCTCTTCCTCTTGCTGCTTAGGAAATAAGCCACAAAGCTCCTGGAGAGCTCATCAAATGACTTGATAGAGCGCGGGGCCAAGGTTGCTACCCAGTCCCTTGCCTCCCTCCTGAGCGTGGGGGGAAAGGATCGGCACATCACGGCGTCCGGGGCAGCATAAAGTCTCATCAGATCCACGAAAGTTCGTAGATGGTCAAGCGGGTCCGTAACTCCATCATAGGCTTCAATCATGGGCTGTTTGAAGCCTTTAGGCAAAGGGACCGCCATGATTTCTGGGGCGAACGGGTCTTCCTCCAAAACCCTCTGTCTCCGCCTATCCTTCCTTTTGGACAACGCATCGTCTATCTTCTGTGACATGATTTCTTCCATCTTTCGTTCCAGGTCCACCATGGTTTGCGGGGGCTGTTGAGTTCCGGTCATTGGGGCTCCCGCGTCTCCCGCTCCCCGCTGAGAGGTGGGTGAGACAACCGCGGGTGGCGCTTGAGGCGGTTGTTGATTCGTCACTTCCGTCGGGCTTAAATGAGGGATGGTGGTTCTCTGCGACTGGTCTTGTAAAAGCACCAATCCCAACTAGAATTAAAGTAACTTCCAACATGGAACAAGTTAAGAAAGACGGTATAGCTTGAGGGTCTCATGAATTGCTTAAGAAAAATATACTGGTAGTATAGTTAGAGGTATAAATTGAGTTCGACTTTGAACTTCTTTGAAAAGGGTAAAAATAATTAGAAGTGAAAAGTAGATTGAGTTTTCTAACGTAGGTTAAGCCGTGTTTGGCTTGATCTGAAATGAGGACCCGACTTGAACCATTTACACCAGTGATTATGGTTGCAATCAAGGATGAATCCAGTATTGGATCCAAGACTGAGCTATAAAATTTCAAATCAGGCTACTATGTGGAAAAAAAATTTTTACACATAAAAAACTAATTTTTTACCCAAAAAAATAAAAATACCTTTAAAAAAATTTGTTGGGCCTGAGAGGGGGGGGCTACAACCCTGCCCCCTCTCCCCCAATCCGTCCCTGGTTGCAATGATTCGTTAAAGTTATGATATTGCCCCTATTTATTTATCATTATTTACTCATTAAAATGAAAAATATGACCGTTATTTATCATATCAAGCACCATATTTGAAAATCTATCTCTTGTGTGGGACCCGTAACGGATATATTTTTCATTCTCATTCTTCTATTAATCTATCTTTTAATTTGGAGTTATGATCTAATCTTTTTGTTCAATTCAATGTGCATAAGCATTCTCTAATGTTTAGCTAACAAATCCAAAAGATAGTTTACTAGACTAAGCTTCATAAATGTATAATATGAGATTACAAAGCACTACAAAATGTCTCCATCCCCAGGATGGAAAACATGACTTTTGTACATATCTTAGTTAATATTTTCTTATATACTTGTTATACGGATCTTGAGATGATGAATCAATTTTAAGGGTAGTGATTTATCGTGCTTCAATCTATCACTTTAATCAGTCTTAAGTTATTTCTAGTTTGATCATCATATTCCTAAAATATTTTCACTTCTTTTGTTATTTTTGGCACTTGCATAAAAGTATTAATCTTTAATTTCATCCTTGTGCACTTACATATTACCTAATTTATGCGCTCGTAGTAGATTTTATATAAAATAGCTATTGTGAAAATATTTAATTTACCACGTGGGTCGATATATGTAATTAATTGTGTATAAATGTTATCTTAAAGTTAAGCCCAAAATTAAAGTGATCTAATAAGGAATTTAAGGTATTGGGCTTTGGGCATCTACATAAAGTGTAGACCGGATTATATGTGTAGAGATCAGATTCCTTTAAAATTGTATTTCATGATGAACGAAATGCACATGTAAACTATATATAGGGTACTTCTCATTTTTTGTATCATTCCATCAATACAAGAATATAAGAGAAATCATACTGAAGAGGAAGATCCGAAAATTCACAATCAAGAATTGACAATGTAAAATCAAGAATCAAGAAAAAGGCGTTCAAGAATCAAGGCTATGAATCAAGAAACAAAACCGGGATCAAGAATTTAAGAAATAAAAGAGCCAGTATTCAAGATTCAAGATCCCATTTTCAAAGAATAATTCCCAATGAATTAAGATATGTTCCGCACTTTATAATTCTCTTGGTAATTTGGCATGAGAATCTTGACAATTAAGTAATTAGATTTTCATGTTATTAATATTAAAGTTTCATAAAATTTCTAATCTTTAATTTCATCCTTGGGCACATATATATTACCTAATGTATGCACTCACAGGAGATTTTATATATAATAGCATATATGAAGATATCAATCTAAGACAAAAAAAGGAAAAAAAATAAAAATTAGGAGCAGAGAAATAATATGGTTAAACATTCAAGCAAACTATACAAGAGTGTCATTTACAAACACGTCGTGATAAAAGAAAGCGAAAGAAGTAAAATGCATTTTCTTAAAAGTTAAAGAAGCTTATCAAATTTCTACTCACCTTTCGTAGTATAATGCGTAGCTAGAGCTTTCACCAATTCTTGGCACCAAATTCCAATCAAACATGCAAGCCTTTAAATACCCTTTTGTTCACTCCCTTTCCATCTCCAATTCAATAATAAATTGACACTGAAGTGAAAGCATTCCACTTAATTTCCATCTTTTGTAGTTGTAATTAGTGTAGTAAGTAATGTACGGCCACTAAAATACATAGGTAGAATAAACAAATAGACTGCCTTTTGTTTTGCCTAATTGTTCTATTTTGCTCTCAAAAACTAAAGTGGAATGGTTTTAAATACTAAAACACAATATTCAGACCATGCCTGATATGTTGGATTGGATAGAATTCAATATCATTTAGGAATTGAGACATGACGAATTTTGTTGATTATCTTTGTTAGGTCCTATATTATAATTGGCCATTTTGTGAACAAAATGGACTTAATTGAATGTTTATAAAAGTCAAGGATTTAGGTTGCAATTATGGGTAGCTGGTTAGGGTGGTTTAGGGTTCGAGTTTAAAGTTGGAAACAAGGAAAAAAGGCGCTGGAATCTTGCTAGCTTCTCGTCCCACCACTGCTCGAGCGAAAATAATAGAGAGCTCGTCGCATGCTCTTGCCCCCACATCACTCAAGTGAAAACGTGTCGCTCACTTTTCATCCACTTGTCATTCAAGCAACATTGTTGTGCAGCCAAACCCTAGGTCGTGTTTTGGAAAATTTTATATGGCTCAGGACACTTATTTACACCCAAGTATAAATACCAAAGTCTGGGACGTGAGAAAAGAAGTTTGCCATATTATTCTTTCATTATACAACATCTACTTATCTGCGATGAAGAGATCCAAGACATAATTCATTGGAGGATTCAACCATATTCATCCTGTTATTCGGCAACCAGTTTTGGGAAAACATCAAGGTTCTCAATACAAAGCACTTGGCTTCCTTAATCTGTTGAGGAAGAGACATTCAGCGTAAGATCAAGAGGCTGTAGGAGACAGCAGATTGGACTGCAGGAGGTAGATCATAAAGTTTAGTAGGAGGCTAGAGGCGTCTATAGTAGTAGGAGGCTATAGGAGGTAGACAGGAGTCTAACAGGCTAGAGGTATCTATGGTAGTAGATCTTCAGACTGTAACAGCAGGTCTTAGTAAGTACGAGTTGAGAAATTATCGTGTATTCCCTGAAAGGTTTATAATGGAGGTAAATGGCTTGGTCCTAGAGTTTTTTCCCATATTGGGTTTCTCTATCATCAAATCTTGTGTTTTACTTTCCAGCCATATAATTACAATTACGATATTCAAATTTAGGGAAAAAAGGGACTTGTATGCTTAATCATCTAGAAACTAATAAAAGTGATGTGTTTGCTTTAATTAGTCAATTCCTCACGTAAGGCCGAACTAATTGGTAATCTGGAACGTAAACTTGGAGGTATTAGAACATTTCGGATTCTCACAAGTGTTATTAGAGCCTAAACACGAGTCCTGGCCTTACATTGTCTAGATGAGTACCCCGTTGAGTGTACTGCTCTATTTTGATGGTAGTAATAATGCATACTGGGAAGTTAGGATGCAAGATGTTTTTGAAATCTATGGATGAAAGGATTTGGTTGAGTGTAGTTAATGGTTGGTCTGTCCCTGGCACCACAGTTAACGATGTTGTCACTCCCACACCCATAGAAAATTGGTCTAGGTCTGAGCTAGATAGATACAATTGGATTAGTAAAACCTTTCATGCCCTCTTTATGGAAATTTCCCCTAAGGAGTTTAGGAAAGTATCCATGTGTGAGGTAGCGAAAGAAGTTTGGGATATTTTAGAAACCACATATCAGGGAACACATGTGGTTAAGAACTCCAAACTGCAGATGCTAACCACTAGATTTGAAGAGATTAGGATGAGGGTTGATGAGATTTTTTATGTCTTCTATGCAAGTCTAAACAACATAGTAAATTTTAGCTTCAACCTATGAGAGAAATCACCGAGCCTAAAATAGTGAGAAAAATTCTTAAATCCTTACCTGAGCGGTTCAGGCCTAAAGTCACGGCGATTGAGGAAAGTAAGGACCTCTACAACAAAAGCAGATTTTTATGGCATGAATTTACGCTTGTATTTATGGTATGCCGTGAAAGAAGACTATTTACGGCATGCACTATATGTATGTCGTAAAAAATCAATAACTTCTTGTATTTACAGTGTGCATTTGTGCACATCATATAATGTGAATATTTACGGTGTTCTTATAGGGCATGCCTAAGTCAATAAATGCTCTTTCCCCCCCGCCCCCCACATACTTAAGTCAATACCCAATACATCGAAGAGCCCTATGCACAAAGTCGATTTTGAGCCGAGGCAAGTGAGGCCCATGCCTCAGGCCCAATGTTTTTAAGGGCCTCGATTTCAAAAAAATGCTTGAGGTACATTATGGTGTCCAAAATGGACACCCGGCACCTCGGTATTGGCCGAGGTCCTATGGGCCCAAGTGTGGTAGGCACCTCGGCCAATGCCGAGGTGCCGTGTGTCCATTTTGGACATCAAAATGGACACCACAATGTACCCATAGCACTACCGATTTTTTTTTCATATACCTAAGTCACCCGTCTTCCCCTTCATTGTCCCCGTTGAGACTTGTGAGGGGTGATCAGGCGCAGAATCGACATTGGAGTCTGGACTTATGCACTCGTACCTTGACGGCTTGGTGGCGACGCCGTCTTTTCTCTTATCACTTCTATCTCAGCCGTCCACCAAGCCACCGCCTGATTTATATGTGTTCTTTCTTCTCTTTTTTTGCATCGAAGAATTCCTCAGATGAGTTAGATTGAACAGTGACGTTTTGTTGAAATTTGTATATATTATTGGTGATAATTAAGATTTAAGATCATAAGATGTAGTTTCATTGTTTCAATTCTGGCCAGAGTTGTGGTATGTGGATAGTGGGTACTACAGGGTACTGGGTAGAAATTAGAATGACTGCAGCCTGCAATGTCCCACATTCCACAATATAGAGTTGAAAGTGTAACTATCCATAATTCCATTTATAAATTTCGGTGGAATTGTTTAATGGAGTAATTCACAATCTTCACAAGGCTAATATCCTCTGATAGCCCCATGATATTGATGATCTAGTTTCCTTGTTAGTGCTTTCTGTGTATAAATGTTAGTTTTTAGTCAAGAACTACGAATATCCACAGCTTTAGTACTGTTTCAGGAATGCAAAAAGGAATGAGACGCATTGTGTACTAAGTACAAGACAAAGGTTAAAGAGATTGTTTTTGAGAAATAAGCACTGGGATATTTATTGGCTGGGAGCTTGTATGCAAGTTTGATTGATTCGAGTGGAAGGGTAAGGCCAGTAAATGATTGAGGCATCACAAGTGTAAATACATGGTAGCTCGAGTTTATTATTAAATGAAATAGAAATTTATTATTTTTTGAAAATCAAGATCCATTGAATAAGAAAAAAGAATCCCACTTGTAGTCTTAGACAACCGCTATTTAAGTAATCTGTTAAAGGATAATATATTTGTTTCTTGTTTTACTATATTTTTTTTCCATGAGATATATAGAGGCTTAAAATAGTAAATGTGGTGGGATGAATCTAGTGGCTCAAAAAAGACAGTAGCTCGTGTCATTCAAGTGGTTGATCTTATGCAACTCACTTTTATGATTTCATTATTCGTAAAAAATATTTTCAGTATTTCCTTTTTGGGATAAATGTATTTACAAAAGTGAAACGCTTTCATTTAGTTTTGGTGGTATATATGCATTTATAGTAAAAGAAATTGGTGAATGTTAAAGAGAGAATTGCTAAGCATGTAGTGTTATGATGTTTTTTGTTGGAATTCTAGCAGAAAAGTGCATTACATTACCATTTTACAACTATTTCAGCACATGGTTACAACTGCAAATATACTACAACTATACTTGTAGTATCTTTTTTAGTTCACAATCTTGTTACCAACTTATGAGCATTGCAATGCTACGCTGGTTGTTCACAGGGTGAAGCATGGGATTTTTGTTTGCATGATACAACAGGATATCTCAGATTGCAAGAATAAATAGATATTTGGAACTCATATTATGTGAAATGTACCGTACTACATCCTTAGGTTGATTCAATGTGCAGGCAATTAAACTTCAGGCATCACTAACTTAACATTGACAATTCTAACGTTATGCGAAATGAAAAATAATAAAAAAGTAATAACAAGACAATGATTTAGGAGTTCCATGTAAAAAATTTACCCAAGCTCTGGGTTAACTAGTGTTTTTATTAGTATTTAGTATAAGAACTTATATCTACATATACTTGTATTGAAGTTTTGGGAAGCAGGTTTATCATTGTCCTAATACAAGTAGAGACTATAGGGTATTAGTCTCAACATTTGATGTGGAGTAGGGCTTGTCAGTGTAAATGATAAGATTATATGCTCTTCTTTTTTAGGAACACAAGTACCTTAATGTTCGTAAATTCGGCATTTGAAAACTTCAGAATTTTTTTTATTAAGTATTTCTATTGATATTTGATTATTAGGCCGGATAATAATTTGCAAGATGTAGGACTATGATATTCCCTTACAAGAGGAGAAAGGTGCTGGCACCTGAAGTGGTGACTCCGGTTACATTACCGGCAAAGAGAAAGGAAAGATCCCTCTCAAAATTGGTTGTTGGTACTCACAGATTATCGATACCGAGTGGTATGACTGGAAGAAGATCAAAGTCAGTTGCAAGGAAAGCATCAAGAGGTTCCAGTTTTACCATAGAGAAACATTTCAAGAAAGATGAAGACTCCATGGAAGACCATCTCGATATGTCTGTTGAATTTATGTCTCTTAGTTGAAGGAATGGAAAGTATTGGTTGCTACATTTTATTTAAAAGATAAATGTTTGGGTTAATTTTTTCATCTAAGTTTAGAATAATTGATTAGTTTAATGTTGTTTATCATGCTAGCTTATACTCAAAAATATTTTAAATTTCATCTTAATTGGATTTTTTAAAAATTAAATTAACATTTACGGCGTGCTTGCTAACAGGGTCACCTTTCATGGCGTGCAAGGAAAAAGTCGCATTT